CCGGTACTAGTCGTGGCACGGTTCCCGGTTTCGAGCTTGAGTTATCTTCAGAAACCACGTATCGTCAAAACAATAATAAAAAATATTAAATATAAAAATAACAAAAGTTAATAAGAAAGTTAAAAAAAATATAAGAATATAAGTAAAAAGGTAAAATAAAAAGCGAAATAAAAAAAGATAAAAAAGCGAAATTAAAAAAAAGTAAAATAAAAAAAGGTTGAAAAAGCGAAGAAGTAAATAAAAAAATTAAAGTTAAAAAAAGGAGATTTTTAGATTTTTATATATCTTTTTTTTAACGCGTTTATTGTTTTGAGATCTGTAAATCAATTTCCCGGGTAACTTATTTTATACACTTTAAAGTACTTTTTGGAACGTAACGTTTCACTAACAAAAAAAAATCGTCGTAAAAGCACTAAACGAACGTAGAAATTCACTGTTAAAATTAATCCAAAATAATCCACCCCTTCAAGAACTTCACTTTCACTACATTCTGGCGCATTTTTGGAATTGGGCAAAAATTAAAAACCTCGAATTACTATTTAGAATTTCGGCATGTTTAAATATTACAGCTGTTTTCATAATTTGTAAAAAATTCGCCGAATGATTTTTCGACCGATCCGGTTATTATTTCGGCATACATGCGGGCGGATTTTTTCGATTTTCGATTTGATGATTATTAAAAATTAATGATAACATTTCATAAAATTTTAATCCAATCATTTATGTGATCTCCGGTAAAATTGATTGTAAGATTTTATTTGATTGGTCAATTGCTTGCCTTAACTATTAATCCGCTTATGAATCGCAACCGTTCATGAAACCGCATAATCATTATAAATCATCATACGTAGTACGTATTTAATTGGCTAATTACTTTTCTTAGCAGTAAATTGCTTATTAAACTGATCATGAAGCTGCAGAATATTTATAAATTATTTATAAATCATTAATAAATCATTACATATATCATTTAATTCTAATAATCGCAACATTTCTATCAAAAATTTTTGCTCTATGATAGATTCAATAAAAATTGGTACGCACGTGCGTACGCACCAATTTTTTTTGAATCTATTATGCCAAATAATAACCGGATCGACAGAAAAATTATTCAGCTAATTTTTTACAGGTGTCCCAGAGCTGTAAATGTCGAAATATTTCTACAAGCATAAAACAATTTCGGCTAACAATATTATTTTAACTAATTTAAACACTACGAAATTTGTTAACTATTACGTGATAAAAAATTTTAATAAAATGATCATATGCTCCGATTTTTGGAATTTAAATTAGGTTTTTTAGGGTTAGCATTTTTTTAAATTTTAAAAATTTTAAAAGCAAATAACTTTTAATTTATAAAATTTTAAAAAATAATTAAATTTAAAATTACAACATAGTTCGGAGGGTGTTGGCGGTGGCCCTGATAAAGATGGTTTCTTGTTGCCGTGCGTTCAACACTCGCTAAGTACGTTAATCTGAATATCTAGAATATTCATATTCTAAATGATTCGGAGCAACTAGGCTTAGTTAGAGGTGTGATTGGGACCCACATTTTTTTTTTTTCTTTTTGTTCCTTCTTAGTTCTCTTTCTTTAGATTTTTTTTCGGTGATTTGAAATCGAAAACTAGAACGTGACTGGTAGCTGGCCTTTGAGATAAGTACCTGCCTTTTTTTTTTTTTTTTAACATTCTCTTCTTTAGGTCTTGGTCTTTCTCTCTTGGAGTGTTAGCAGGGGCTAACCTCTAAGATAAGTACCCGGCCTTTTTTCTTTTTTCGTTCTTTCTAGTTTATCGGAATTAATATTCTCTTGGTCTTTCTTTCTTGAAACGCGAATTGGGGCTGGGTACTGGATTTTTGAAATAAGTGCCTACTTCTTTTTTTTTTTGTTCTTTCTAGTATACTGGAGTTAGCATTTCTTTTTTAGGTTTTTCTTCGTTGGTTTGAAATCGGGAAACTGGAACGCAAAAAAGAATTTGATCCAGTCTACTAGTCGTTTTCTTTGCTAGCATTTTTTAGAAGATGGGTCTATTAGATCGGTCCCGCTTATTTCGCCGATGCTCATTTCGTAGATACAACACTTCACCGACATGTTTGTTTCACCGACACTTAATTAATTCACCGACAAAGTAATTATAATCATTATTGTTAGAGCTAGACTATAATTATGGGTCTCATATCATTTTCCTGACAAAAATTGACCGGAACTAACACTAACCCAACTTAATGCGGACTAACTTGTCGAGTTTTGACATTGTCGGGAAAGTGGAATGATAGGATCCGTAGAATTACATTAAGATTATTGCAAGTTATAAGTTTTTCGGTGAATTAAGCTTGTCGGTGAACTAGGCTTGTCGGTGAACTAAGCTTGTCGGTGAACTAAGCTTGTCGGTGAATGAACATGTCGATCAATTGATTGTCGGTGAAGAAATGCTGTGTCTACGAAACGAGTATGAGTTTTTACGAAATAACCAGAATTTATGTTTTGCTCCGGAAAAATGAGCATTTCTCGAAATAGTTTTTTGTTTAATAGGGCCTTATAAAAAATTTGAAAATCAGATTCTCTTTCCGGAACGATAACCTGGAGAGCTGGGGTTTTCAAACTTTTCTTATAGAGAAAGTCATGTTAATTTTATAAGTAGATGTTCGTTAAACATAATACTGTAATATATGAACATATGTAATTCTAAGTTTTTGATTATAAATCTCAATTGGATAGGATTATTTTATTATAGATTAAAATTCTTTATTAAATTTCATATTACGTAAATCAATCTATTTACATTATTTTTCAGACAACAAATCGATGTTAACGCTCTTTAAAGCTTTAACGGCCCATACAGGATATTTTTCTTCACTACCAAACAAATCTTTAAAGGTTTGCTTTACAAACGATGGAAATCTATCCTCTATGATAGCCTGCCTAATATTTCTCATTAATCTTAGTTGATATGCAATATTATGAATAGTGACCAAGTGACACCCAACAGTTTCCTTTGTTGCTTACAAATGAATATATGACCGAGTATATGATTTACAAACAATCTTTTTCAATAGCGATAGGTTGAAAATCTTTGGAAAATTTTGCCGATTTTAGGTTTAATGAACCCTTGGATGTTAGAGCATTACCGAATCTCTGTTATCAGTGTAGAAAAACTGAGTTGGGATTAAAGTGCACATGACAAGTCATCATTTTATAAACTAAATCAAAGATAACTTAAATCGTTTACCGCAGTACAAGTTGGAAAAACACAATCATACATAT